CTCACCCGGGCGCACGGCGCCAGGCAGGGACCAGGGTCGCGCTGGACGCAACGCCGCCAAGACGCCCGCAGACGCTTCCCCCCCAAACAAGTGCGCCCCGGCCCGCGTCTCTTCCCAGAATTGAAGGAGGGGGTCTATTTCGTTTCTTTCTTTAAACCGCCGCACGGTCCCGGCGGGTTCCGAGGCGCGGGCCCCGCGGGCTACTCCCTCAGGTGTGTGTCCGCGGGGTCAGCGCTCGGCGCAGCGTCTCCTCCTCGTTAAGCTTCTCTTTCTCATGGTTTTCCTTTTTTCTCGTTTCTTTTATTGTTTTCTCTGTGTCTCCTTCTCTCCCTTTTGTGAATGGGCCGCGGTGTCTTTGTTCTGGAGAGAAGCGCCCGTGTCGCTGACTTTTGTGAACCAGAGAAGGATCCTGTGAAACCCCCTCCTCGGCCTCGTACTCCCCGCGCCCACCCCGCCTCCGTGGCCCCTTTGATTAGACGTTCCCTCTTCGTCCAAAAAAAAAAAAAAAAAANAAAAAAAAAAAAAAAAAAAAAAAAAAAAAAAAAAAAAAAAAAAAAAAAAAAAAATGTAATTTCGTTAGTCCGGCGGCCACTTTCTTTGAACATTAGCTCGCTTTCAGCTCCAACTTCAATTAGAAGGAGTTGATTTTGAGAGATCAACAAAAGAACCGACCAAAGCCTTATTAAAGGTCCTAAGAAGATCTCCCGGGCCCTTTGAGAAGCAGTTAAGGAAACAGTGTGCCCTCCATCATATTCTGTTACCGTATTTTATTCGGGCTCCAAAGGGAAGTGTCGCTTGGGGGAGGGGGAAGCACTTTGANGTGGGGGTGGAGGGGAGCGGGGCTTGGGGAAAAAGGGTAGGAATTCCTCGAAAGGCGGTGAAATCGTGCCTCACACTCAGCAGGAGGTGCCATTTAAAAGAATTGCCTTGCTCAGGATTGGGCCGAAAACACCTTCTTTTGCGCTTCGCAAAGTCCACCCAGGTAGATGTGTTTGTGAAGTTTGTTCGGCTGGGAAATGGGCTTCGCCAGTACGAACAACACGGGGAAATCGCCTCGGGGAGGCTCCTTGCGTGGCCTGTGGGAAAGAAAGTGAAGGCAGGGGTCCGTGGCCACGTTTCCCACCAGACTGTCCCTGGGAGAAGGAGACCAGGAAGGAGACAGAAACGGAGGGGGAAAGAGAAAGTTTCCTATCGCAACCTTTCGGTTCAGAAGTAGAGTGTGTGCGCAAGGGGAGGAGACGCCGGGCTCCGACTTTGCAGAAGAAGCGTTTAAAATCTGCAAACACCCTTCGTGGGGGTTGGGGACCCCAGGAGACGCCGAGGAGCAGTTAAGTGGCGGGGCCGCCCCTGCGGGTGCTGCTCCCGAGCGCGGGAGTCCCGAGGCGCCGAGGCGGGTCTG